CTGTGAAACTGGTCCATTAAGTATCAATCAATCAATCAATTTTATTTTATATAGCCCTTCTTACATCAGCTAATATCTCGAAGTGCTGTACAGAAACCCAGCCTAAAACCCCAAACAGCTAGTAATGCAGGTGTAGAAGCACGGTGGCTAGGAAAAACTCCCTAGAAAGGCGAAAACCTAGGAAGAAACCTAGAGAGGAACCAGGCTATGAGGGGTGGCCAGTCCTCTTCTGGCTGTGCCGGGTGAAGATTATAACAGAACCATGCCAAGATGTTCAAAAATGTTCATAAGTGACAAGCATGGTCAAATAATAATCAGGAATAAATCTCAGTTGGCTTTTCATAGCCGATCATTAAGAGTTGAAAACAGCAGGTCTGGGACAGGTAGGGGTTCCATAACCGCAGGCAGAACAGTTGAAACTGGAATAGCAGCAAGGCCAGGCGGACTGGGGACAGCAAGGAGTCACCACGGCCGGTAGTCCCGACGTATGGTCCTAGGGCTCAGGTCTCTCAGTTGGCTTTTCATAGCCGATCATTAAGAGTTGAAAACAGCAGGTCTGGGACAGGTAGGGGTTTCGTAACCGCAGGCAGAACAGTTGAAACTGGAATAGCAGCAAGGCCAGGCGGACTGGGGACAGCAAGGTGTCATCATGCCCGGTAGTCCTGACGTATGGTCCTAGGGCTCAGGTTCTCAGAGAGAAAGAGAGAACGAGAGAATTAGAGAGAGCATACTTAAATTCACACAGGACACTGGATAAGACAGGAGAAGTACTCCAGGTATAACCAACTAACCCCAGCCCCCCGACACATAAACTACTGCAGCATAAATACTGGAGGCTGAGACAGGAGCGGTCCGGAGACACTGTGGCCCCATCCGAAGAAACCCCCGGACAGGGCCAAACAGGAAGGATATAACCCCACCCACTCTGCCAAGTAGGCTTTAATGTGAAAATTATTATTTATCTTTTACAAATGAGTCATCATAGGCCTATATATATATATATATATATATATATATATATATATATATATATATATATATATATAAAATGTAGCTATTTATTTAAATATCTATTTATTTTAACAATTATATATATATTGACTGTTTTTGGTTCATGTTTCTGAATTATGATTTCTATCTACACGTATAGCCTATCTGAGATGCAAACAGGTTCAGTGCATTTACCAAGCCATTAGGTCGAAGCAATTGTCCGTAGAGCTCTGAGACAGGATTGTGTTGAGGCACAAATCTGGGGAAGGGTACCAAAAAATTGCTGCACCATTGAAGGTCCCCCAAAACACAGTGGCCTCCATCGTTCTTAAATGGAAGAAGTTTGGAACCACCAAGACTCTTCCTAGAGCTGGCCGCCCGGCCAAACTGAGCAATCCGGGGAGAAGGGGCCTTGGTCAGGGAGGTGACCAAGAACCCGATGGTCACGCTGACAGAGCTCCAGAGTTCCTCTGTAGAGATGGGAGAACCTTCCAGAAGGACAACCATCTCTGCAGCATTCCACCAATCAGGGCTTTATGGTTGAGTGGCCAGACGGAAGCTCTCCACAGTAAAAGGCACATGACAGCCCGCTTGGAGTTTGCCAAAAGGTACCTAAAGGACTCTCAGATCATGAGAAACAAGATTGTCTGGTCTGATGGAACCAATATTGAACTCTTTGGCCTGAATGCCAATCATCACATCTGGAGGAAACCTGACATCATCCCTATGGTGAAACATGGTGGTGGCAGCATCATGCTGTAGGGATGTTTTTCAGCGGCAGGGACTGGGAGACTAGTCAGGATCGAGGGAAAGATGAACGGAGCAAATTACAGAGAGATCCTTGATGAAAACCTAGTCCAGAGCGCTCAGGACCTCAAACTGCGGCGAAGGTTCACCTTCCAACAGGACGACCCTAAGCACACAGCCAAGACAACGCAGGAGTGGCTTCGGGACAAGTCTCTGAATGTTTTTGAGTGGCCCAGCCAGAGCCTGGACTTGAACCCAATCTAACATCTCTGGAGAGACCTGAAAATAGCTGTGCAGTGACGCTCCCCATCCAACCTGACAGCGCTTGAGAGGATCTGCAGAGAATAATCGGAGAAACTCCACAAGTACAGGTGTGCCAAGCTTGTAAGTGTCATACCCAAGAAAACTCAAGGCTGTAATCGCTGCCAACGGTGCTTCAACAAAGTACTGAGTAAAAGTTCTGAATACTTACGTAAATGTGTAAAAAAAAATCTAAATACCAGTTTTTGCTTTGTCATTATGGGGTATTGTGTGTAGATTGATGGGGGGGGGGGGATAATTTTTATCAATTTTAGAATAAGGCTGTAACATAACAAAAAGTCAAGGGGTCTGAATACTTTCCGAATGCACTGTATGTACCTTTGAACATGTTTTCACACATCAGACCTGTGATATTCCTTTTAGTTTTTTCATCTTTATCCTTCTTCTGTGGACTATGATGTTAGCATAGATTTTACTTAAACAAATATTATCTGTTTAGCAATTATGAAGATAACATTAATTTTCTTGCTGTAAATTGACCTATATTACCATATATTATACATGATTGTGTGTTTGATTATAAATGTTAACTTGTTAAAAAAAAACTTGTTTGAAATGTGTGACTTTTATTGCGTGATATTGTGCTTTTGGTTCATTTGCAACAAATGTATCTTAAAAAATGTAATGAAAAGAAGTTTGACTTTGTGTTACTTTACTTTCTTTGTGTGCTCAATAAATACATAATATAGAAGAGAGTAGGCTATGTTGCCAGGGGTGTAATCATTAGTCCAAACAGTTGCAAAACGGAACATTTTACAACTAAAACGAGAGTTTCTATTCGACAAATTCAGGTAGGTCACTAGGTCCCTCCCCGTTTCGTTCCGTTTGCTTCAGTTTAAGAAACGTTTTGCAACAGAATCAGTGTAATGAATATGCTCCTGTATTTTCATTTTGGGCTGATGGAGACTTAAGGCAAACAATAGATCTTAGTGACAAGGAGAACTATACTATCTTATATATAAGATAGTGGACCCTACAGTCTATGTCCGCGCCTCCGCGGGAAGGGAAGCATCAGGAGTCAGGCAGGATTCAGGTGCAAAATGGTGGTATTTATTTAAAAGTGTTGCGCGGAAGGAATAACGATGGATCCAAAATATGTAGCCTTACAAGACATTGACGAACACTGACATATACTTGACTTTAAAAATAATAAATGAATTCCTCACACAGCTGAGTTAAAGAGAACCCTGTACTGCAACAACATGTCACTTCAACCTAAACTCTACCTGACATCCAGGCTCTGTCGTAGCCGGCCGCGACCGGGAGACCCATGGGGCGGCGCACATATAGGCAGCGCATAAAGGCGTTTCCACCTCCATTTCTCGCATAATTATTTTACCTATACAAAAAGATCCCACCATGTCGAACGAACAAATTATCTGTCGGCATTTCCTGTTTCCGTCATGATTTTTTACATGGTATGATTTTACACAGCATAAAAACTGGATGAAAACTTGGTTAGAGCAGGGGGGTTTTCTGGATCAAACAGGGGCTTAGGTGGTGGGCGTGGCAGAGGGCGTGGCAATGGGCTCATTGGTCTATACATGCAAAATTCTGTCTGGGCCTTGGCCATTTTTTTTGAGTCCCTCTAGAACATTTTGCAGTTTTAAAGCCAATTTCCTGCAATTCTATACATTTTGACATAGAGGTGAGAGAGAGTTTTGCAGTTTTAAAGTTAATTTCCTCCAATTCCATGCATTTTGATATGGCTAATGCTGTGTTCTTATGCTCAAGCATAACAACATCAATGGGGGCCTGATTGTCTAGCTTTTATTTTGGTGATTGTAAGTTCTCAAATTATTATAGGCTATTATTTAAACAAAATATTGGACCACTGCCTTTTCTACACACAAAAAAAATCACCCAGTGACCCACCTGGACCCCTGCAGCGACCCACAAGTGGATCCCGACCCACAGTTTGGAAACCACTGGGCTAGGCTATGAAAGAATCGAGGATTTGAAGCGAAATTGTGATTGATTGATTCTAGTTTTCTAGAAAGTAAAAACTGTTTAAACGTTTTCATACGACGGAATATTATTGGTCCTGAATGGAACGACATTTGCATAGACTTGCCCCCACGGAGGAATCCACGCCCCCAACACTCACTCGCTTTCTCACAGCTCCTCAACACACAAGCATCAAACGCAGAGCAGCAGCAGCCGTTCCATGGCAGTTGGAAATAAATATGACCACGGAGAAGGGACTGTCAACCGAAAGATCTTCTTATAAACTATCTAGCCAGACTGTTGCGGTTAACGGTTTATATGTCAAATGAGGGAAAGGCTTAGCTTGTCACAACATAAATCAAGGCTTCAAGAAGAATCTTTTCGTGGATACTGTCAATTTTCATTCAAGGTGAATAGCAAAAAGATGGTCGATACGTTATTTTCATTTTGACGTTCCGTGCCCATTTGTGTGTTCCAGGAAGCTTTTCAAGCTGTTTGATTTATGCTAGCAAACGGTCTTGTTAGTAAGTCGATTAGGTTTGATGTCTCTGACTGCAGTTAGACCATTTTAAATATCAGCACAGTTCCCACCTCGTCAGTTCATTGACTTGTTTGAGCTATCAATGAAGATAGCTAGCTAACGTTTAGTCTTCATTTTAGTCATTTAGCAGACGCTCTTATCCAGAGCGATTTACAGTTAGTGAGTGCATACATTTTTCATACTGGCCCCCCGTGGGAATCGAACCCACAACCCTGGCGTTGCAAGCGCCATGCTCTACCAATTCAGCTACAGGAGGCCTTTATCGCTAAGCTAATGTACCCAGCTGCCTAGCTACTGTCTGGATGTTTTCCTACCCATAATTTGCTGTTTTTATTTTCAGTTTGGTGGATGAAGTGCTGACAGTCTTTTATTTTTTGGTCTAGGGAAAGTCTGAGGCAGATCTGTAATCCTCTGGTGTGACAGAGAAGAACAGTGACATAATTGGCTGGAGGGAATGGCCCCAGCCCTGACCAAGCTCTCCAAAGAAGACCACGGAATCCACCTGGGGTCCAGCAACATGGATGCAGATGGGGCAATGCTCAATATCGAGTGTGATCCTCAGTTGAAACTGATGGAGGACAGTTATGCTCAGAGGGTGTGGCTGAACTTTTCCTCTCTACCCTTTCTGGACACTTGTTGCTCCAGCAAGAGTCCCCTTGACTTTCCCGAGTCGCTCCTGTCCCCTCTGCTACAGGCCTCGGCTGGCCAGTACAAAACTGTGCTTCTTTCCAGCCCCGGTTCCCTGCTCAGCCTCCTGGCCCTCAACAAAACCCTGAAGCATTCCCTGGTGGCCTGTCCAGGTGCACAAGACATATATTTTGTTCCCATCCCTGAACACAATAGCCAAGGTGTGGCTCAGCAGCAACAGCAGTGTCAACACAGTGGCCATGGACCAGATGGCTATGATATCCCCCAGTCCCCTTCAAAACACGGCCCGGGGGATCTCATGTCCCAGTACAACCCTGCTGTCCTCACACCCCTCATTGAGAGGCAGGAGGAACGGGGCTCCAGCAGCACAGTCACAGCTCCAGCCCAGCTGTGGGCCAGGGGGGCTAGGAGCCAGGTCCAGGAGCAGCCTGTGACTGCATTGGTGGAGGAGGTAGTGAGAGAGCAGACCCACTGGCATCTCTCCCAACAAGCGGCTCAGTTAGGACGGGCTGGGAGGCTCCAGAGGAGACTTCAAGCTCTACTAGGGGACCACGCCTCTCGCCACTGCAGCCTCCAGCTGGAGGGTCTGAAGGGGAGTCAGGGCAGGGAGACCCCAGGTCCCCCCTCACCCCCAGCTGACACCAAGCCCTTTGATACAGCCATGGGGCAGAGACAGACGGGTACACTGAGCCGCAGGACCCAGGGCCCTGCCCTACTGCAGACCTCCTTACCCCCATCTCCCTCCACAGACATCCAGGAGTTTACCCGCTATGCCCAGGTTGTGCTGCGCGGGGTGCAGGAGGCTGTAGACTCTGATGCCACAGAGAGCAGCTCAGATGAAGAGTTGGAGCCTCAGCAGAAATGGGGGACCACATCTCGATCAGTGTGAGTACAGACATTCTGGTAATGTGCTGTAATAATGTTGTAGACCTGTTAATTACTTATGAGAAACAGGAAGTCTGTTGTTCAGTTGAATAAGAATGATAGGGAATTTTATTTCATGCTTGAGTGGGATGCTAAAACATTGTCGAAGTCCTAACTGTATGCAACAGGAACCAAGGATTTTCATAGTTAACTGTGTCTCTGGATGAGGTTTGTTAAAAGCTGTTAGCTGAAAACCTGGAGCTGGCATATTTTAAAGAGCTGTGGTGTTTTCCTGGATACCACAGTGGGTTATCACAGCTAAATAAACAGGGTTAAGGGGAGAGTTAGGCTATGAAAAACACATGCCATATGTGTGTCAGTGAGTGAATTATAAATGGAAAAACAGACCTGGGTCTGGCATCATCCTAGCATCATCCTGCTGGGTAGAACACAGAGCTAGAATGATTCCAAGTCTATGCTATTCATTCTATTTCTATGGGGTAGAATGGTCTCTGTGGCCTTTCATTAGCTCCTCCATGGAGAGAGGTTATGGCATGCACCTCCCCCGGGAATATCTCTCCTCTTCCGAGACTGAATGGGCCATTCTTGGCCCCTCTTTCTGGAAAATGTGATAACAATGGTTACAACGCTAAAATTGGGAAGTCGTACTCACTCTTGATTTCTGTCCTCTTTCAGTTTCTTATATGTTCATAATTTGACGTGGAATTACTGTGGCAGAATAGGATAATTCCTTGAAAGTGAAATGAGGGGCACACCCTGTAATACAGGGATGGGCAACTTTGATGGGAGCGGGGGCCACAACAAATCTGAACTCCTCCTGAGGGGCCGCAGTGGCTTGCGGGTCTGTGTACCCCCATCCATACCCACACATGCAGTCAGTGTTGGCCCTAGCCTTTTGGGGGCCCTAAGCAACATTTCCTGCAATTCAATTTTTTTCTCCATAGGGTGGAGAGAATTGTGAGAGTGACTAACAAAATCAATGGTGGACCCCCGGTCAATAATTGGACAATGATTACTATAAGTTTAGATATCTGGCCGCTAGACCAGGAAAAAAAAGTCATGTTAGCTGACATGGGCTAATTGAGTAACTGTCATAACAAAAGAAAAACTGCTGATGCACAACCACCATTTTTAAATTGCATCTTGTAGTGTATTCTGCTATTCTAACTCTGAACAGTAAATTGAGACCTAAAAAAAATGTGTATATATTATTTAAAAAAACAAAAACAACTGAGGGGGAATTGATCCATCCCAGCTGTAGGCTTTACTTTATGCCCCGACCTACAACTAGAGTAATAACAGTGTTTAAGAAAGCAGAGCTTAGTTAATACATACAGGCTGGCTTTTTCCTCAGTTGGGATCAGGGCTGAAAACGTGTGTGTAACTGCAAGAATAATGAAATGCACCACCAGTATAGAACAGCTCCAGTGCCACTGTGTATTTAGCTTTGTTGAGCTGGCCTGGCAGAGGGTGGATGGTTGGTGTTTTCCATTGGGCGGCAGCAGTGTCTCTGGAGAATGGAGATAGTGCCCAGGTCCTGTGGGCTGTTTGTTTATGTTGCAACCCGGGAGGGAGTGCTGCTCCTCAGCAAGAGATAGAGCCTCTCCTCTCCTCTTAGACTGCTTGACTTGGGATGGGGGTGGCAGCTTTTTACACTTTAGCGGTGTGGAAAGGTTCCACCACCTAGCTTACAACTCAAAGGATATCAAAAGTCATTTTTCACTTTCCTTATTGTGAAATGAAACCAAACTTGAAGTGGTTTTAGTTTGAGAGGCGACAGTGTTACAGAATTGAGCCTGTGTTTGTTAGTGTGGGGGTCTATCTATATCTATGCCCCACCAGTCACCAGCCGACCCAGCCGCCCTTTAGTTGTCCACTCTGTTTGAAGTGGCTTGCTCCTGGCATTCTCAGGGCCGCTACATAGAGCCATGGTAACTAACCTAACTGGACTGTGGAACTGCCTGCCAGAAACCAACGTCTAGCCCTGCACTACAGTAATAGTGGAATGCAGTCAGAAGCTCCATGGAAACCTACACACAGTTTTCTAATTATTTATTTGTGGCCTAGATATACTTTCTACTCATCTCAACAGAATAAAAATAATGCTCCCTCATTATCTGCCGTGTAATATGAAAAGGCTGATATGCAAAAGTAGCATTTTCATCTAGTGCTTTAAAATGTAGGTCATAGTGTAGGCTATTTGTTGACGGTACTGTGTAAACATTAACCATATGTCCTCAGCCTCTGTACTCTTGTTGTGCTGGCCTATCTATGTTTTAAAGGTCAGTAAACATACACACACTCCAACCGTTCAACCTGTTTCAAGGAAAAGGTTGTATTTTATTAGATGAAGAAAAAACCTACAGAAATGAATAATCTAGAAAAATATGGAAGTGTTTAGGGCAAACATCCCTATTAAGCCCACAAAATCCACTTTTCAGACATTCTTTAAATATACTGACCCAATTTAAGTGAGAACATTTTAGTTAAAATGAAAATCTCTCATTTGAAGTGTCAATAATTCATTTATACCAATTTCTAATGTTTTTATTGTTTAATTTGTCAAAATATGTTGAAAGTCTGGCATTGACTTAATGGGTACCTAATGTAACCTTTAAGCCCATGGGTGTTCCAAATAAGCCCACTTCAGATTTGTTGATGAATAAATATATAATTTATATTTAAAAAATCTTAACAATACAAACTTGTTCTTGCCAAATCTGTAATCTCAATAGCTATTTTCATTTAGTCTCCACTCCTATCCTGCCTGTAAATGGCATTTGAAATGGGCGTACCAGCCTTTTTGCTGTGTTGTCAACGCAGAAAAAGCTAAACTTCTTTGGAATGTAGCCAAAAAATCAAAACTATAGTGGAAATGACTCTTCAATACTTCATCTTTCAATATGTGTTGTCATTTAGTCTGTATCTCTATCCTATGGTGTGCTGTTGGCATTTGAAATTGGCCAAAATTGTAGATGAAGATTTCTGAAGACCGACTGACTAAAAGAAAAACTGTTTGCAGGTTCAATACTAATGTTCAAAGGATTGTAAATGAGTCAATTTCAGGATTTACATTTAAACAATAACTTTAATTGATTTTCAAATGTTAATCACATTTAGGCTAGTAGTTTGAAAACATTGTAAAAACACATTTTAAAACCATTCAGTTCATTGTGGAGTAACATTAAAACATACAGTTCATTGTGAGGAGACATCTGTCAAAACATCTTGAAGCTCATGTATCATTAGCCTATAACTTAAGCAAAATAAAGAAGAAACATTTCTGCAATTTCTACTTTCTCCTAGGCTAAACGTAGGCCTATGCTCTTTGATGTGATTTTATCGTTTTAGTTATCTTAGTAGTGTAACAAAACAGGTTATAGGGTGGTCTAAGCTTTATTTTGTTTGTTTGTTTCAATCTTTTGCCCATGTTGTGGTTGTCTTTGCTTGCCAGTCTTATGCAAACAAGTCTTTGATGGCTTTTATCTTGTTTTTGTACAGATTTTCAATGACCTCATGATTGAGCAAATATAATGGTCCAGGTCCCTCCAGCTCTGCTTTGCAGAGGATGAACTTGAGGTCTACATCCTCAATCTTGTCCCTGGATGGGAGGAAGTTGTTTGGCCCTCTGTCTAGGAACTTCATCACGTACCGTTCACCCTCTGGTGGTGCTGACTCGTTAAGTGATCGTGCGATGTAATATGCCGCTGATTTCGTGAACATGACAGCATAGTACACATCGCTCTCCACTGTGAAGGTTGTGGTACAGGTTTCTGTATTCTCATTTGCCTCTTTGCTCACTGCCTCATTGCCCACTGCCTCCGATGCATTTGCCTTCTCCAGAAGAGCCTTCTTGGTCTTGCCATCCTTTGGTTGTTTCTTTTTTGCTGCCTTCTTTTTCTCACTTTCCCCTAGCTGCGACAAGGCTTGTTCAGATGTTAGACTCCATATTTTAGAGTGTTGATTCTCTGTCTTTTGGAGGATTGCTCTTCTTGGTTGGCATGATGCATTGCAGGAAGAAATCTTTGATGCCAATGCCTGATGAGGGTGAAGGGCTTGAAGTTGCAGACTATGCAGACGTTGATGGCTGTGGTTGTGACATTTCATCATTTGCAGGCATTGCAACCTCAGTATTGGTGATGTTGAGAATGTTGGACCCAGCAAGAGTTCCTACACTGAGGATAATCTGGGACATGGATTCTTCGCCCACAGATGTTGCGCATGGGCATGGTTGTGCAGTTGGAGATATAGAGGTGGCACGGGGTCCCACTGGAAAGTTTAGTGCTGTTTTCCTGGCTGGGCGAGGTTGTGCAGGTGGAGACAGAGCGATCACATGGGGTCCCAGAGGAGTATCGTTGCTTGTCATAGTTTCTGCCAGATGCTGTGGTTATGATTGGCCATCTTCCATGGTGAACGGTGTGTAGTCTTCTGTGATAACCCTGTCTGGACAGTAAGGATAAATGACAGTGCTTTTAAACCCACTCTTCAGATTCTCATCCTTTAGACCTATCTCCAACACCGCCTTCAGTTCGGATGGGAAATCCTATTTTCGGATCTTGTCCCTGGTCACATGAGAGTGCCACCGCAGCTTTGTTCTCCACTGCCTCTTCACCTCCCCTTAAAACAGCTCTGTCGAGTGGCAGAAGAATGTGGGTTAGGTGAGACGGCAGTCTCAGCAATACCACATTGTTCTGTTTCGCCTTTAAGGCAAAGCTGAGGGAGATGTGGGAAACATGTCCGTCAAATATTAGCATTCGTGGAAATGCTAAGTTAGACCACCTCTCAGAATCCTTGAGGAAGAGGTGTGAGAAGTAGTCCTCGAATACAACCCTCTCCATCCATCCATATTTTCAGGCTTATCCATGACATCGGCTTTAACCATCTCCTTTTCAAGGAGTGCAAACCAGCTTCTGAGAATGGCTGGGTCGGATGTGGCTTTTGCCCTTGCCTCTGGGAACTGTTCCGACTTCCTTATGGTCAGTTCCGGATGGTCCCGCATGAAGCGTTCTAACCATTTTCGGCCGGGTCTTTGGTCCTTGAAGGGGGTTTGAAGTTCCTTTGCTATCACAAGCTCTTGAACGAGATGGAGAAGATCTGTCCGGGTAAAGCCCCAACGCCACTGGCAAAGGACCTGAAGAGATGGAGAAGATCCGTCCGGGTAAAGCCCCAACGCCACTGGCAAAGGACCTGAAGAGATGGAGAATGACAAAGCATTAGTCCTGGACGCACGTGTAAGCGCACACACACACACACACACACACGTTTGCATGCACACACACACACACACACACACACACTTATTTATGTGTGCACACACACATTGCACACACACTTATGCACGCACACACAAACACGTCACAGGCACAGATTGAGAACCACTGGATTAGGCAAAATCACATTTTTCATGACCTCATATTGGGCTACCCACTGTTTCATGTTATCTTTTTCTTAGCCTATCAGTCACTACAGTATAACCCTACCCGAAGACACTCTGAAATCCCTGCTCTACCGCTGGACTCAGGTAGATCACATGTCCCTATTGTGCATCAATGCTCAGCTGCTCCTTCACTCTCTGCCTCAACGACTTCCTGTCTACTCCATAACGTTTTGCCAGAAATTAGAGATTTTGCATTGTTCCCTTCCCTGTACAGATGGCATGCTTCTATCATGCGTGGGCATGAACTGGAGTTTTTTCGTGTTTTAGTCATCTCAAACTAAAACTCATCTGAAAAGTAGGCCTAAAGATAAAACAATTGTTGTTAATGTTAGGATAGAATATAGGCCTATCCAGAATGAATTGACCTATGTAATATGACTGATATTTAAATATGGGTATTAATTATCTGAATTATGGAGCTGATTTATCAGGTGAGGTCAAAATTAGGGAGGTATATGGTTCAAAGGTCAAAAGGAAGAAAATCCCCATTGAAACACAGTCAAGTGGCCTTAATGGGAGCAGGTGGGCTTAAAGGGAACATCAGTCAATTTATGGTTAAAAGACAGAATATGTTATTCTACGCACATGACAATAAAAAAACAACTATATGAAATAAATCTATATACAGTGGGGGAAAAAAGTATTTAGTCAGCCACCAATTGTGCAAGTTCTCCCACTTAAAAAGATGAGAGAGGCCTGTAATTTTCATCATAGGTACACGTCAACTATGACAGACAAAATGAGGAAAAAAATCCAGAAAATCACATTGTAGGATTTTTAATGAATTTATTTGCAAATTATGGTGGAAAATAAGTATTTGGTCAATAACAAAAGTTTCTCAATACTTTGTTATATACCATTTGTTGGCAATGACACAGGTCATTGCTGGTATTTTGGCCCATTCCTCCATGCAGATCTCCTCTAGAGCAGTGATGTTTTGGGGCTGTCGCTGGGCAACACGGACTTTCAACTCCCTCCAAAGATTTTCTATGGGGTTGAGATCTGGAGACTGGCTAGGCCACTCCAGGACCTTGAAATGCTTCTTACGAAGCCACTCCTTCGTTGCCCGGGCGGTGTGTTTGGGATCATTGTCATGCTGAAAGACCCAGCCATGTTTCATCTTCAATGCCCTTGCTGATGGAAGGAGGTTTTCACTCAAAATCTCACGATACATGGCCCCATTCATTCTTTCCTTTACACGGATCAGTCGTCCTGGTCCCTTTGCAGAAAAACAGCCCCAAAGCATGATGTTTCCACCCCCATGCTTCACAGTAGGTATGGTGTTCTTTGGATGCAACTCAGCATTCTTTGTCCTCCAAACACGACGAGTTGAGTTTTTACCAAAAAGTTCTATTTTGGTTTCATCTGACCATATGACATTCTCCCAATCCTCTTCTGGATCATCCAAATGCACTCTAGCAAACTTCAGATGGGCCTGGACATGTACTGGCTTAAGCAGGGGGACATGGCTGGCACTGCAGGATTTGAGTCCCTGGCGGCGTAGTGTGTTACTGATGGTAGGCTTTGTTACTTTGGTCCCAGCTCTCTGCAGGTCATTCACTAGGTCCCCCCGTGTGGTTCTGGGATTTTTGCTCACCGTTCTTGTGATCATTTTGACCCCACGGGGTGAGATCTTGCGTGGAGCCCCAGATCGAGGGAGATTATCAGTGGTCTTGTATGTCTTCCATTTCCTAATAATTGCTCCAACATTTGATTTATTCAAACCAAGCTGCTTACCTATTGCAGATTCAGTCTTCCCAGCCTGGTGCAGGTCTACCATTTTGTTTCTGGTGTCCTTTGACAGCTCTTTGGTCTTGGCCATAGTGGAGTTTGGAGTGTGACTGTTTGAGGTTGTGGACAGGTGTCTTTTATACTGATAAGAAGTTCAAACAGGTGCCATTAATACAGGTAACGAGTGGAGGACAGAGGAGCCTCTTAAAGAAGAAGTTACAGGTCTGTGAGAGCCAGAAATCTTGCTTGTTTGTAGGTGACCAAATACTTATTTTCCACCATAATTTGCAAATAAATTCATAAAAAATCCTACAATGTGATTTTCTGGATTTTTTTTCCTCAATTTGTCTGTCATAGTTGACGTGTACCTATGATGAAAATTACAGGCCTCTCTCATCTTTTTAAGTGGGAGAACTTGCACAATTGGTGGCTGACTAAATACTTTTTTCCCCCACTGTATGGTGCACTAACATAACATGAAAAGTATAAATGTATCATGCAGAGAAGTAATTGGCTATACTCATTTACATCCACCCCAGACAGTGTGATATTTTTGCTAGCGTCCCCTTTAAGCCCACCAGGTAAATATTTTAATAAAAAAATAAATAAAGATAAACATACACATTTATTGTCTATTTAACAGTATAATAATATAAACTGCATACAAAAATGTAAACTATACCTGCTTATCATGCTTTGTCATTGCAATGAACCATATGCACCTACTGTATTGATGCAGCATGTGGTATGTTTGCTAGCATGCTAAAAGTCATATTTTGATTTTTTTTTTTTAAACTGTCTTTATAATTCAAGTAATATTGTAACATATGTCTTATTCAAAACACTAATCACTTACATTTTTATAAGAAATGAGTACTTACCAAAAACAGGAGTAGAAATATGCAAAATAATTATCTTCTGAGGGTAGCAAAATCACCTAGGTTTTTTTGCAACTTCTTCTGGGATCAGCAGGCATATGTCACACATATGCTTTGATAACTCAATATTGACAAATCGGATTGGTTTACAATAATAAGTGTCATTTATGTAACAAGCAGCTTCTTTGGAAGAAACATCACAGCAAATAATTATTATGTGTTTGTTTAGTTTTTAGTGGGCTTATATGGTACGTGGGCTAATAGGGACGTTTGTCTGGTCATAGGCTCTGTCTGTCTCTCTCACTCCTCTCGCTCTCTCTCTGTCTGTCTGTCTGTCTGTCTCTCTCACTCCTCTCTCTCACTCCGCTCGCTCGCTCTCTCTCTGTCTGTCTGTCTGTCTGTCTCTCTCACTCCTCTCGCTCTCTCTGTCTGTCTGTCTGTCTCTCTCACTCCTCTCGTTCTCTCTCTGTATGTCTGTTTCTCTCACTCCTCTCGCTCTCTCTCTGTCTGTCTGTCTGTCTCTCTCGCTCTCTCGCTGTCTGTCAATCTGTCTCTCTCACTCCTCTCGCTCTCTCTGTCTGTCTGTCTCTCTCACTCCTCTCGCTCTCTCTCTGTCTGTCTGTCTCTGTCTCTGGCTCTCTCTGGCTCTCTTTCTTTGTCTCTCTCTCTGTCTGTCTGTCTCTCTCCCTTCTCCCGCTCCAGTAGGCATGGGTGTGAGTGGAGGTGGCAGAGGGAGAGGGCTGAGGTGGGCAGCAGGTGGACCTGGCTACAGCTGCATGTCGCAAAGCTTGAGGGACGCATCCAACAGCTGGGGGACCTGCACAAACATATCACCTCCACCAAGGTAAGGCCCAGGTCCATAGGCCCCTAGTGGACCCTGGCCCCTACACACACACACACAAACACACAGACACACACCCCCCTCATTCCCCACAGATCCCCTAGGCTCTAGACCAGGTAGAGTGAGGTTGTCATATACAGTTGAAGTCGGAAGTTTACATACACTTAGGTTGGAGTCATTAAAACTCCTTTTTCAACCACTCCACAAATGTCTTGTTAACAAACTATAGTTTTGCAAGTTGGTTATGACATCTACTTTGTGCATGACACAAGTAATTATTCCAACAATTGTTTACAGACAGATTATTTCCCTTATAATTCACTGTATGACAATTCCAGTGGGTCAGAAGTTTACATACACTAAGTTGACTGTGCCTTTAAACAGCTTGGAAAATTCCAGAAAATGATATCATGGCTTTAGAAGCTTCTGATAGGCTAATTGGCATCATTTCAGTCAATTGGAGGTGTACCTGTGGATGTATTTCAAGGCCTACCTTCAAACGCAGTGCCTCTTTGCTTGACATCATGGGAAAATCAAAAGAAATCAGCCAAGACCTCAGAAGAAAATTGTAGACCTCCACAAGTCTGGTTCATCCTTGGGAGCAATTTCCAAACGCCTGAAGGTACCACGTTCATCTGTACAAACAATAGTACACAAGTATAAACACCATGGGACCACGCAGCCATCATACCGCTCAGGAAGGAGCGTTCTGTCTCCTAGAGATGAACGCACTTTGGTGCGAAAAAAGTGCAAATCAATCCCAGAACAACAGCAAAGGACCTTGTGAAGATGCTGGAGGAAACAGGTACAAAAGTATCTATATCCACAGTAAAACGAGTCCTATATCGACATAACCTGAAAGACCGCTCAGCAAGGAAGAAGCCACTGCTCCAAAACCACCATAAAAAAAGCCAGACTACGGTTTGCAACTGCACATGGGGACAAACATTGTACTTTTTGGAGAAATGTCCTCTGGTCTGATGAAACAAAAATAGAACTGTTTGGCCATAATGACCGTTGTTATGTTTGGAGAAAAAAGGGGGTAGCTTGCAAGCCGAAGAACACCATCCCAACCGTGAAGCACGGGGGTGGCAGCATCATGTTGTGGGGGTGCTTTGCTGCAGGAGGGACTGGTGCACTTCACAAAATAGATGGCATCATGAGGAAGGAAATTTGTGTGGATATATTGAAGCAACATCTCAAGACATCAGTCAGGAAGTTAAAGCTTGGTCGCAAATGGGTCTTCCAAATGGACAGACCCCAAGCATACTTCCAAAGTTGTAGCAAAATGGCTTAAGGACAACAAAGTCAAGGTATTGGAGTGGCCATCACAAAGCCCTGACCTCAATCCTATAGAACATTTTTGGGCAGAACTGAAAAAGCGTGTGCGAGCAAGGAGGCCTACAAACCTGACTCAGTTACACCATCTCTGTCAGGAGGAATGGGCCAAAATTCACCCAATTTATTGTGGGAAGCTTGTGGAAGGCTACCCGAAACGTTTGACCCAAGTTAAACAATTTAAAGGCAATGCTACCAAATACTAATTGAGTGTATATAAACTTCTGACCCACTGGGAATGTGATGAAAGAAAGAAATTTCACATTCTTAGAATAAAGTGGTGATCCTAACTGACCTAAGACAGGGAATTTTTACTAGGATTAAACGTCAGGAATTGGGAAAAACTGAGTTTAAATGTGTTTGGCTAAGGTGTATGTAAACTTCCGACTTCAACTCTACCTGTCTGTCACTTGACTGTGTTTTATATCTTCTGTACAAAGCCTTCTGAGGTTCATTAAAATTGTGTGTTTTAGATAAGGATGTGCATGATTCCTCCTCTAGTCAGCCTCTGCCCTTGTGGAATTAGATACGCCTTTGTGTGTATGTGTGGTGTGTGTGCGTGTGTATGTCTGTATTGTGTGTGTGTGTCACATCACAGTATGGACCTCTTCTTGTAAAGTGCCTGTGGTGTTTTTAATCTCTCATTAATTTTCCCAAATCTAATTCACTCATTGTCACTCAGATATCATCAGTAGTCATGACAGCCGCTTCCTCCTGCTGTCTCCAGACAGCTCTAAACACCATGACCTTCCTCACGACCTTTCCTATGAACATGTGTGAATCAGTGGTGGCTGGTGGCACTTCATGGGGTCATAGTAATGGCTGGAATGGTTTCAAACACATGGTTTGCATAAGCCATATGAGCCGTCCTCCCATCACCAGCCTCCTTTGGTGTGTGAATATGCCCTTGTTGTGGAGTTGATAGTAGTGTGTGTGTGTGTGTGTTCGTGCGTGTGTGTGGTCCCAGGGGGGGGTGGTCTTGGCGGATTCCCAGCCGATGACAGACGGGCAGATTCAGCAGACGTTACTAACGGAGACAGCAGGGCTGTCATTCACGTCAAGGGGCAGCGCTAGAGACCCTCCCTCTGACATGGAGAACGAACCCAGCAGCCCCACACGCCTTCTCAGGAACATACAGAGACAGGTATATTTTTAAAATGTTATTTAACCTTTACTTCGACAGTAACATCTAATGATTTAGCATTAGTTATGTCACAAAGATCAGAGGGCTTTTTACCCAGCAAATAATCAAACCAATAATTGTTATTCGTCAAAAGGGCCAAAAGTAGCCATTACTGCTGTTTCCTGGGTTAGTGGTTAATCACACACAACAATCTGTGAGAGTCCTGCTGCTGTTGATAGGACAGCTCCACTCCCAGTACATCTCTGGTTGTTATGTAGGGGGAAGTCTGGTTGTAATGTAGGGGGAAGTCTGGTTGTTATGTAGGGGGAAGTCTGGTTGTTATGTAGGGGGAAGTCTGGTTGTTATGTAGGGGGAAGTCTGGTTGTAATGTAGGGGGAAGTCTGGTTGTTATGTAGGGGGAAGTCTGGTTGTTATGTAGGGGGAAGTCTGGTTGTAGCACTGCTGAGGGGTTGTGACAGGTCATTCTCCAACCAGAAAGCCTCACATCACATTAGATTACAGGTCTGCGGAGTCAGGACTTGTATACCATACTGCTTAGTAGGTGGGACTGGGGGGGCTATGTAGACATATAGGCCTATATGTTTCAGTTCAGTAGATACTGTATATAGAGGATGATCTGTTGTTGTCCTTGTCCCCACAGAGTGTCCAGCTGAGCCAGATTGTCAACAGCCTGATGCCTCCTCTGAACCTCTCTCCTTCCTCCTCTCTCATCTCATGCCGGTGGAAAGGACAGAACAAGAGAGCCTTCAGCAGGTAGACCCAATAAGCCCCATCAGCCCACATTGTCCTCTCCTGTGCAGTTTAGTTTAGTTTATTAGGATCCCCATTAGTTATTGCTCATGCAGCAGCTACTCTTCCTGGGTTCCAGCACCTATGGTAGATGCGTAGCCAAGCCAGCCCAGTACAGTACGGCACGGTTTGGCCCAGTAGTGTGAAAAGGGTAATGGTGACCTTGACCCACGATGATGTCAAAACAGAAACAGTACCAGTCAAAAGTTTGGATACACCTACTCATTCCAGGGTTTTTCTTTATTTTTACTATTTTCTACATTGTAGAATAATAGTGAAGACATCAAAACTATGAAATAACACATATGGAATCATGTACTAACCAAAAAAGTGTTCAACAAATCAAAATATATTTGATATTTGAGATTCTTCAAAGTAGCCACCATTTGCCTTGATGACAGCTTTGCACACCATTTTTTGTAATTAATTGGCTGTACTTAGCTAATGACAATCTTTCTACTGTAATAATTATAAAAACTGCTCCCAGTTCCACTGTTGCTTAACACGTCAGAGGAGCCAAGAAAATACAAATTAGGCATAAGCTGTCAATCAAAAGCCAGAACAAATGGTATTATATAAAGAATAGAAAGACTTTGTGGAATTTCAGTCACTGTCAAACTAGATCCTGTAGGCAGGCCTGTTTTATTTGTATTTAAAATGGAAGTGATGGGACATTCATTGACATTATGGTTCCTAGACAGCGCTGTTTTTAGGCACAACCACTCCCTCGAACAGGCTGGGGTAGTGGGGTTCTTTGGGTGGTATTAACTACCCCCAAGAAGGCTGTACTGTAGGACTTCACAGAGCTGCTGTTTTGTATTTCTGTCACAGGCAGCACAGCAGAGTATGTTTGTTTAGTATTTATCCAAGCCATTTAAAGCCTGTTCCAGAGGACAGGGAGGTGTGGTCGAGGAGGGCCAGGGAGGTTACTGTGATCTGGCAGGATAATGAACAAAATCAGTTCACTTCCTGTAACCAAGGGAAACATATCCCACCAGAGCTGGAAATGACAGGCCCCTAGTGAGTGTTGGACCAGCAATGTTCTAAAGCCAGTATCTGCTAGTCTAGGCTCAGTCCCAAATGGCACCCTATTCCCTAAATACAGTGGTGCACTACTTTTGACCAGGGCCCATAGGGTAGGAAATATATAGGGAATAGGATGCCATTTGTGCCGAAGCCCTACTCTACAGCCCAGAGAGGACCACAGATCTCCTATCCATCACTAGTGATATTAAACATGCTCTAGCTATCCTTAAAACAACCCATGGAAAAGTTTCATCATGTCCGGCTGTGATTTGGATCAAAGTCATTAAGCTCAAGTTCTAACTTCCTCTTGCCTCCTTTTTACTCTCAATAATAAAGTCTTCACCTCCCTTGTTCTGAACTGACTCCCACGCTGCCATGGATGTCATGGAATACGGATTATATCTGACTGGGACCGCTGGGTTGGATTGTTTGTGTTTTGAATCGTTGTGAGTCGTTTTAAGGGCGTCTGTACACTGAATGTTCAATGTAAAATCTGGGCAGCTCTCTACCTATAGGACTGTTGCATTTGTGTGTTGAGTGAATGAAGTGGTGTGTGTTTAGTGACTTAGGTTGCGTTTCAAATGGCACCATATTCCCTGTAGTGCACTACTTTTCACCAGAGCACTATGGGTGCCATTTGGGTCATATACTAAGTGTCTCTTCTGTTGTCCCCTGCAGTGGCCTGGCCCTGGGAGGATGTGACCCTTTCTCCCAGAAGGGACTCAAGAGGAGGAGAGTGAACCGCAGGAGACAACACCTCCTCCAAATGGACGCCACCTGTGTCTCAGCCCGCACCCGACCCCTGGTGACCTATCACAAACCACAACTCTTCATCAACACCAGCCACAGACAGCAGGTAGCCACCCTCAACACCATGCGCGCACACACACACACACACACACACACACACACACACACACACACACACACACACACACACACACACACACACACCTGCTGCCAATAATGAAATGTTAGATGACTGAAGTATACTAAATTAAAGAAGGATAAAAGAGTAAATCAAGGTGGCTTTCTTTTTTATGCAGAGGGACTCATCTTGACATTTGAGAATGACATATAGAATCTCTTGCATATTAGTGTTTTTGTCAAAGTGCAAATATAATCAAGTGCTGATATTAACTCTTTGTGAACGAAGGTTTACTAATCTGTGAACTGCTGTCTTATTTAAAGTGGAGTATTAATTGTAGCTGTAGTCTTTGGAAAGGGACCCTGTGCTGTGTGTCATGATGTCCGCTGTGTCCCTGGCTGCTCCTCCAGGTCACAGTGACTCACACAGCAACTGCATAGTAAGGCTACATGTTAGCAGAGCTGAGAAACCAGCTGAGGTGGGGTTAAGTCACAACTCTATGTTTAAACATGTACACACATTCACCTGGGTCCTTCCTTTGCTAATGGGTTTATGAGGTAGTCTTTGGTAACTGTCTCTGACAGTAGCCTATTGCTATCTTCAAGAGCCAAAGGTGGTTTGAGTTAATAAAAATGTCCTGCATTAAATCAGTGGTATCCACACCTGGTCCTGGGCGTGTAGAGAGTAAGTTATTCTAGTACCTGTAAATGTCTAGGCTTTATTCCCTCCTCCTTTCTCTCTCCTGTAGGACCTAGCCTCCCTCTCCTCCTCCTCCTCCTCCTTCTGTCTCACCTGTGCCTCCTGTGATCCCCTGGCACTGTGTTCTGACCCAGCCTGCTCCTCCAGCAGCGCCCTGACCTCCAGGACCAGTCACACTGTGCCACACCCTGCTCTCTCTCTCACCTCAGGTAGGCACATCTCTCACTGTGCTGGACAGACATGATGATACTGTATGTGTTCTTGTGTTAGGCTAACTGTACTGTGCCACACCCTGTTCTCTCAAACCTCAGGTAGGCACCTCTCTCCTAAAACCCCACATCTATAGAAATATGTCTGCTTGGGTTAACTGATGCCAGTGATTACTGTTGTGTTGTAATTACTGTGTTGTTCATCATATTGAGCTGTATGCTTCAACTCTTTTGTCTGGAAATAGCTATAATATTCTGTTGATGGTAGGTAGCTGAGGGTGGAAGGTACGATACAAAACATTACTATATTGTTCATTTACATTGACCAAGATAGGTGTGAAAAATAGAATACAGTACAGTGTATTCTGAGAAACATTCTGTTACCCTGCCCTCATCTAGACAAGCCCTGTAAACAACTTTCCCAGGTCTGTGTTTTCCTGTAACTATTCATTGTACTGAGGAGATGACATCCCACGCACCCTGACTCTCAGAGCAGCTCTCTCCCTGTTGCCTGAGGAATGTAGACTGTAGGGTTATTAAGACCTGACAGGACTGTCAACTCAACAATGCAGCTGTCAGCTGAGCTCCACACAACTGTACTGTACTGTGAGGGAGTTATTACTAGGAACTGACTAGGAGAAGGTGTATTGGCTCTAGTATGTAGTGAGGTAAATGGAGAGATTGTCATGCTCATTGTTAGATCCATATTCTTCTAGAATATTCTAGTCTATATTCTTCTTCTCTAACCTAATCTAGACCTGATCAGACCAAACTAAAGCTGGGCAGAGTGAATAGCATCTAACCTGCTGGCTGACTGTGTCTCCTCTCCCTATCTAGTGTAAAGACTCCTACTGATCTGCTAGTTGAGATGATTTGGCAGTAATTCTCTTTGGCATCTCACTGGGGGACATTCACAGCAGCATGCTCTGAGTCAGCCAGTCTAATAATGAATCTCCTGTTGCTGCTCCTCGCTGCTTGCTCTGTTGGCTGTTGCCTGCACAGAGGTTAATGATCCTAAACAATCCCAATGATTCTCGCTGGGCTGAAGGGAGGGGTTCTGAGGCAGTGGGCCGTGGCTGGAGTGATGGGCTGGCTAGAGGGGCTGAGGAGAGAGGTTGAGGGGCTGGGGCACTGGGCTGTGGCTGATGAGGAGAGCGCTGCGTCAGTCTTAGAGATGTAACTCACAATGCTCCACTCGATTTCCTGTCAGCCTGAATCACACCCCACGGACAAAGATTGAGCTAAAAACAAACAGCACAAACACCATAAGGAATATTCTACTGACAATTATTATGTGGAAGATCACCATTTCTCTTTTTCTCTTTCTGCCTCTCTTTCTCTTTCTCTCCCTCTCTTTCTCTCTCCTTCTCTTCTTCTCTTGAGAAGAGAAGGGAGGAGATGTGTGAGAGGGAGTGGAGGGGGAGATGTTTTGAGCGGGAGAGATGAGAGAGCTGCAGGTATTGTCCTGCTAATCTGGCCCTGACAAGCAGGAAGCACAGTGGTGGCAGTTTGAGGTGAGACTCATGATTCAGCACCACTAGTCATGTTCAGCCCTGCAACCTTACAGCTCACACTGCAGATTACCATAGCATCTGTGTCATTATCAACCCCCCCCCAACCCAAACCACAACATATCTGTTCTCCTAACAATGAAACAGGCCCATGACAAATATGTTGATTGTCTGTAGAGCTGGGGAGGAAGCATTAAGAAGGAATATGTCTAACCTATTGGGACTGATAGTTAAACATTATGCTGGCTTGTTATTATAGGCAAGTCTCTAACCAAGCCTTGTAATCCCATGGGGGGTTTGGCGGATGGTTTCAGACGAGGGGAAGCCCTCGCTGTTGAGTTAAAGTGGAACTGACAGCATTTTAACTACTTTGCAGATATGAAACAGACAATCATAATATCAGTCAAAAATATAACATTCCCAGTTTATGCTACAAAACCAACTTTATAAGAGGTTTTAAAAATAGGTTATATTTGACTCAACATTCCATGATCTACACTAAGGCATTGTTGGCAGAATAGATGGATGCAGTTCACTGCATGATTAATATAATTCACCAATACATTTCTTGGTAGTCCAAAAAATATTGCTATTAGGTTGTGAATCACAGCTCGCCTGGTACATTGTTTGCTGCCTCCATTCGCGATGCACTGTTTCAGTTTCAACGACTCAATATTTTGGACAAAAAAGGACGAATGTAACTAAGGCTGGGAATGTCAATACAATCAAACTAGTAAGGGCAATGACCACAAGTCAGTCATAACGTGGCTAATAGGCTAGTGTATCTATTTATGTAGCAAGCTAAAAACACGGAGCCTAACGCTAGCTAGATCGCTAGCTGCAAGGAGGATGTCATGTAATGTAATTGGAGGAGTGAGTGAGTGACTGACTTTTTCCCCTCATATCGTTTTCCGGTGGCTATACACAGCTAGAGATGCAGGTGTCATTTGGTTAGCTAGCAAGAACGTGAACAACTGTTATCCAGTTAGCATATCTCTTGCATTCGCAAATTCACTCTCGCTATCTACTCTGATTTTAGAGCACTCTCGTCTGAGTGTGCCAGAGCGCAGAATAACTGATGAATTTACTAACGTGCAACACCCGCTGAATATGACCGGTGTCAGTAAACGTAGGCAAAAAAAGTTATAGTTTGTCACGAACGCTCTAGATAACATGTAAAGTATGAAAAAATGTATGCACTCACTAACTGTAAGTCGCTCTGGATAAAAGCGTCTGCTAAATGACTAAAATGTAAATGTAAATGTAAACAGCCTAACCAGCTCTGCTAATAAAATGGTCTGAGTGAGGTGTTCTCTCATTTGTGTCTGGAAGTAGCTAGCTAGCAAGCTAGCCAACTTTAGCCAGTTAGCTTGGGTGCTTGGTTGGGACAAGAATTAATGCATTTGCAGGCAAGCTGCAGAAGCACTAGTAGGCTACAATCCCCCATCATTTATCAGTGCAATTTTGACAGGCAACTAAACTCAACTGTGTTTATTTTCAGCAAACTTAACATGTGTAAATATTTGTATGAGCATTACAAGATTCAACAACTGAGACATAAACTGAACAAGTTCCACAGACATGTGACTAACAGAAATTGAATAATGTGTCCCTGTATAAGGGGGGGGGGGGGGGGTCAAAATCAAAAGTAGTCAGTATCTGGTGTGGCCACCAGCTGCATTAAGTACTGCAGTGCATCTCCTCCTCATGGACTGCACCAGATTTGCCAGTTCTTGCTGTGAGATGTTACCCCACTCTTCCACCAAGGCACCTGCAAGTTCCCGGACATTTCTGGGGGGAATGGCCCTAGCCCTCAACCTCCGATCCAACAGGTCCCAGACGTGCTCAATGGGATTGAGATCCCATTGGCACAACACTGACATTCCTGTCTTGCATGAAATCACGCACAGAACGAGCAGTATGTCTGGTGGCATTGTCATGCTGGAGGGTCATGTCAGGATTAGCCTGCAGGAAGGGTACCACATGAGGGAGGAGGATGTCTTCCCTGTAACACACAGCGTTGAGATTGCCTGCAATGACAACAAGCTCAGTCCGATGATGCTGTGACACACCGCCCCAGACCATGACGGACCCTCCACCTCCAAATCGATCCCGCTCCAGAGTACAGGCCTCGGTGTAACACTCATTCCTTCGACAATAAAGCAAATCCGACCATCACCCCGGTGAGACAAAACTGCGACTCGTCAGTGAAGAGCACTTTTTGCCAGTCCTGTCTGGTCGAGCGACGGTGGACTTGTGCCCATAGGCAACATTGTTGCCAGTGATGTCTGGTGAGGACCTACCTTACAACAGGGCTACAAGCCCTCAGTCCAGCCTCTCTCAGCCTATTGCGGACAGTCTGAGCACTGATGGAGGGATTGTGCGTTCCTGGTGTAACTCGGGCAGTTGTTGTTGCCATCCTGTACCTGTCCCTCAGGTGTGATGTTCGGATGTACCGATCCTGTGCAGGTGTTGTTACACGTGGTCTGCCACTGCGAGGACGATCAGCTGTCCATCCTGTCTCCCTGTAGCGCTGTCTTAGGTGTCTCACAGTACGGACATTGCAATTTATTGCCCTGGCCACATCTGCAGTCCTCATGCCTCCTTGCAGCATGCCTAAGGCACATTCACACAGATGAGCAGGGACCCTGGGCATCTTTCTTTTGGTGTTTTTCAGAGTCAGTAGAAAGGCCTCTTTAGTGTCCTATGTTTTCATAACTGTGACCTTAATTGCCTACCGTCTGTAAGCTGTTAGTGTCTTAACGACCGTTCCACAGGTGCATGTTCATTAATTGTTTATGGTTCATTGAACAGTGTTTAAACCCTTTACAATGAAGATCTGTGAAGTTATTTGGATTTTTACGAATTATCTTTGAAAGACAGGGTCCTGAAAAAGGGACGTTTCTTTTTTTGCTGAGTTTATTTGAAAATGTTGGAGGATTTATCTAATGTTCCTTCGTTAGATTTTACCTCATCTTGGTCTGGCTAGCATTAGTTGTTGATCTTGTTGTTGTTGATGTACATAACTGATGGAGAGAGAGCCTACCTTTTCATGGTTGTTTGATCAATAGGACTGTTAAGTTCCCAAATGTAAGAGGATTCCTGCGGTGTTTACATATTTGCAGAAATCCATTCAGTTGTATTTTGTGGCTTTTGGCAAATGCGTTCAAATAATCTAAGGTCGCACAGTTGGTACTGCCTGTAAACACACAGTCCAGTTCAAAGTGATTGATGGCAGGCCCATGTGGCAAATGGCTTGTTTGCATAAAGGCCTACTGTAGCTCTTATTGGCTATGGCGCACCGGTCTGCGTAGACTCCTGTCTTTGGACGAGACAGATGTTTTTGTTAGGTTTTATTTACTGCAGTGTCTATTAATTGTCCAAACCCACGGCTGCTTTCCCACTGTATAGTGGGGAAAACATGTATTTAGTCAGCCACCAATTGTGCAAGTTCTCCCACTTAAAAAGATGAGAGAGGCCTGTAATTTTCATCATAGGTACACGTCAACTATGACAGACAAAATGAGGAAAAAATTGTCAGATGAAACCAAAATATAACTTTTTGGTAAAAACTCAACTCGTCGTGTTTGGAGGACAAAGAATGCTGAGTTGCATCCAAAGAACACCATACCTACTGTGAAGCATGGGGGTGGAAACATCATGCTTTGGGGCTGTTTTTCTGCAAAGGGACCAGGACAACTGATCCGTGTAAAGGAAAGAATGAATGGGGTCATGTATCGTGAGATTTTGAGTGAAAACCTCCTTCCATCAGCAAGGGCATTGAAGATGAAACGTGGCTGGGTCTTTCAACATGACAATGATCCCAAACACACCGCCCGGGCAACGAAGGAGTGGCTTCGTAAGAAGCATTTCAAGGTCCTGGAGGGGCCTAGCCAGTCTCCAGATCTCAACCCCATAGAAAATCTTTGGAGGGAGTTGAAAGTCCGTGTTGCCCAGCGACAGCCCCAAAACATCACTGCTCTAGAGGAGATCTGCATGGAGGAATGGGCCAAAATACCAGCAACAGTGTGTGAAAACCTTGTGAAGACTTACAGAAAACGTTTGACCTGTGTCATTGCCAACAAAGGGTATATAACAAAGTATTGAGAAACTTTTGTTATTGACCAAATACTTATTTTCCACCATAATTTGCAAATAAATTCATTAAAAATCCTACAATGGGATTTTCTGGACATTTTTTTTCTCATTTTGTCTGTCATAGTTGACGTGTACCTATGATGAAAATTACAGGCCTCTCTCATCTTTTTAAGTGGGAGAATTGCACAATTGGTGGCTGACTAAATACTTTTTTCCCCCACTATATATTGCTGTAGAATTTTCACAAATGCCTTACTACATAAATCCCAAACATTATATGAATTTATGAAAATGTCCATATCTAAGTGCTCGCTTAATTTAATGTTGCTAAAATGCTGTCAGTTCCACTTTAACATGGGTGCTGTGTGTTTCCAGGTTGCCGCCACAGCCACAAGCAGCATGGGAGGCACCTGAGGGGAGGGGCCAGGGGCATGTCAACTATCAGGTGGGTGGGCTCTTCTCAGACCCCACACAGGAGAGCCTATCGCGGGGGGAGGAAGAGGAAACATACCCACAGGACCATGGAAGGTATGTATGATCCCTGGGATGGGATTTTTCCTCAGTAATCAGGAATTCCTGCTTTTCTGACATTTATCCTACATGAATTTAAATTAGAAACAGACTTAACCCCTAGCCAAATCCTGATTTCCTATGTTGTCCTAAACATATCCAACTAGTTATTACATACATGTAGCCTGCGAGTGTAGTTATGTAGTCATTACATGTATGCTATGTAGCTTGTTACAGAGCGACGCATGGCGTTAACAGTTAGGTGTTGTTGGTCTCTAGATGAGGAGGACCTCCTGTCTCAGCTGTCAGACCCTGAGGACAGTCCAGAGGATAGCCTGGAGGATGCCGTTACACCCCAGACCTCACACACACGCAAACGGGTACCCCCCCATAACCCCCCCCCCACCACACACACACACACACACACACACACACACACACACACACACACACACACACACACACACACACACACACACAGGTAGTTAATCAACCAAGCTACTATAGCTTCATAGTCTGCACATCTGTGCATTATAGCTCCAATACTGCCTGGCTACCTGGACTAATAGCTTGAGAATTGCCTTGTAATGCATACTGACGTCTAGTGGAGAAGTTTATAACAAACGGTGTGCATTACAGGCATATAGCCCACTTGTTAATTAGTGAGCTATGCTACAGTATTTTTTTATACTTTGCTGTTCTCAGGGCCCAATCCGCAGACGTCAGGGAGAGAGTGTTTACAACATTGACAACATCGTCATCCCTATGTCCCTGGCTGCCACTACCAAGGTGGAGAGACTTCAGTACAGAGATATTATAACGCCCAGGTATGGCTTCTGGTGCTTGTTCTTTGGCTTGAGTTACTTATGGCTGCAGTTACTTCTCAACAAAAGCTAAAGCCACCATTTTTTGCTTAACTGTATTTTGAGTTTGATCAAACTTCCCAAGAAAATAGTCTGTTCTTTGATGTCCTATGATGTGTGTTACACTACATGGCCAAAAGTATGTGGACACACTGTCAAATTTGTCGGTTCAACTATTTCAGTCACACTAGTTGCTGTGACAGGTGTATAACATCGAACACACAGCCATGCAATCTCCATAGACAAACATTGGCAGTAGAATGGCCCGTACTGAAGAGCTCAGAATTTCAACGTGGCACCATCATAGGATGCCACCTTTCCAACAAGTCAGTTGGTCAAATTTCTGCCCTGCTAGAGCTGCCCCGGTCAACTGTAAGGGCTGTTATTGTGAAATGGAAATGTCTAGGAGCAACAACGGCTCAGCCGCGAAGTGGTAGGCCACACAAGCTCACAGAACGGGACCACCGAGTGCTGAAGTGCGTAGCGCGTAAAAATGGTCTGTACTCGGTTGCAACACTCAGTACCAAGTTCCAAACTGCCCCTGGAAGCAACATCAGCACAAGAACTGTTCGTCGGGAGCTTCATAAAATGGGTTTCCATGGCCGAGCAGCCTAAGATCATCATGCGCAAAGCCAAGCGTCGGCTGGAGTGGTATAAAGCTCGCCGCCATTGGACTCTGGAGCAGTGGAAACGCTCCAGAGTGATGAATCACACTTCACCATCTGGCAGTCCGACTGACAAATTTAGGTTTGGCGGATGCCAGGAGAACGCTACCTGCCCGAAAGCATAGTGCCAACTGTAAAGTTTGATCTGGGTCTGTTTTTCATGGTTCGGGCTAGGCCCCTTAGTTCTAGTGAAGGGAAATTTTAACGCTACAGCATACAATGACATTCTAGACGATTCTGGGCTTTCAACTTTGTGGCAACAGTTTGGGGAAGGCCCTTTCCTGTTTCAGCATGAAAATGCCCCCGTGCACAAAGCGAGGTCCGTACAGAAATGGTTTGTCGAGATTGATGTGGAAGAACTTGACTGGCCTGCACAGAGCCCTGACCTCAACCCCATCAAACACCTTTGGGATGAATAGGATCACCGACTGCGAGCCAGGCCTAATCGTCCAACATCAGTGCCCGACCTCACTAATGTTCTTGTGGCTAAATGGAAGCAAGTCCCCGCAGCAATGTTCCAACATCTAGTGGAAAGCCTTCTCAGAACTCTATATTAATGCCCATGATTTTGGAATGAGATGTTCGACGAGCAGTGTCCACATACTTTTGACCATGTAGTGTATTCCGTCACCTTACACATTGCTCTGCTCCTTCCCTGCAGCTGGAGAGTGATTGATAACCCACCCCTGGAGGAGGGGGAGGAGGAGGAGGAGGAGGAGGAAGAGGAGCTGCTCTGTGACGAGACATTTTCTCAGAGGCACCTGGGGTGTGAGCAGAGAGAGAAACTCCGCTGGACCTCCTGGGACAAGACCAGACACTACAGACGCACCACCAGGTGGGCACTGGGCACACCACACATCACCTTGCTGTTGCTGATTGATCCTGCAGTAAAGCTTCTTACCTCACTGGATCTCAATTCAATATACAGTGTCTGTTTTTTTCCTTCGAGAATGAAGTGTGGCATTCTCTTGTACCGATGCAGTAGTTTTTATTTAAAATCACCTGTCTCTGTAGGTCTGGCAGTAGGAACGATGGAGCAGGTGGTTCTGTATGGGACTGTGCTGTCAGGGGTGACACCAGGGGTGGCACCAGAGGTGACATCAGAGGTGACATGAGCACTCACGTGGACTGGAGCTGCAGTCATCTGGACACGGACGCAGATGGAGCCTTAGAGGAGTGGGTGGTAAGAAAGGACATTCATTGTCTAGTCTCTACCAACCTAAAGTCTGGATCCCGGTTCAGCTCTTTGTTACATTCTGAGTATGACGTCTTGGTACTACCATCTATTAACCCTGCCGCTAACTGAGGAACATTCTAGTCAATAAGCTATTAAGTTGAATGCAGATGAGTTGCTAGCAGAAACAATGCTAGTTTATGTTATACACAAGTCTTCTAATGATCAAGCTGAAATAGTTAGACATTTTACTTCAGAATATGACTCACTGAGACTGAAAAACAGTTTCTGATTGGGTGAGATGAATATTGGGCATTAAATCTAAGATATTTACACTGGCTATCATAAGGTGAATGCACCAATTTGTAAGTCGCTCTTGTCACGCCCTGGCTCTGGGACTCTGTTATGTTGAGCCAGGGTGTGTAGTTTCTATGGGTTTGTTTTCTAGGTTCATTATCTAGCTCATGTGTTTCTGTGTTGGCCGGGGTGGTTCTCAATCAGAGGCAACGAGTATCAGCTGTTGCTTGTTGTCTCTGATTGGGAACCATACTTAGGCAGCCTGTTTTCCCACAGTGTATTGTGGGATCTTGTTCCGTGTATGGTTTGTGTCTGTTACCAAGGACTTCACGTATCGTTTTGTTGTTTTGTTCGTGTGGTGATTTAATAAAATAAGTATGTTCGCATATCACGCTGCGCATTGGTCCACTTCCTCCAACGATCGTGACAGAAGATCCCACCAAAACAGGACCAAGCAGCGTGTCCAGGAGCAAGCGCCGGGTAAGGAGCTGGAGAGGTTGGCGATGGCCCAGGTGGGCCAATGGTGGTCCTGGGAGGACATGCTCGCGGGAAAAGGGCCATGGGCTAAAGTTAAGGCCCTGGCGAGAGAGGAGGTACGGCGCCAACAGTGCCGTCGTCAGACAGGCGAGAGGCAACCCCAAGACATTTTTAGGGGGGGGCACACGGCATGGATGACGGGGCAGCAGGAGGCAGCTACAGGGCGTATCGGGAGAATAGGAGAGGAGGCCACCAGGTTAAGGGGGCTATTGGTCCAGAGGGAGCAGGAGTTAGTGGGTCAGAGGGAGGAGCTACTGGAGGCGATAAGGGAGAAGGAGAGAGTAGAGGCACGGCGAGAGGAACTGTGTAGGCAGCTGAGGGAGCGGAGGGTTATGAAGAAACCCAGTCCCGCTCCTCACACAAAGCAAGTGGTGTGTGTCACCAGTCCGGTCCGGCCCGTTCCTGCTCCCTGCACTAAGTTAGTGGTGCGTGTTCCCAGTCCGGCCCGACCCGTTCCTGCTCCCCGCACTAAGTTAGTGGTGCGTGTTCCCAGTCCGGCCCGACCCGTTCCTGCTCCCCGCACTAAGTTAGTGGTGCGTGTTCCCAGTACGGCCCGACCCGTTCCTGCTCCCCGCACTAAGCCTGTGGTGCGCGTCGTCAGTCCGGTCTGGCCCTTTCCTGCTCCCCGCACCAAGCCTGTGGTGCGCGTCGTCAGCCCGGTCCGGCCCGTTCCTGCTCCCCGCACCAAGCCTGTGGTGCGCGTCGTCAGCCCGGTCCGGCCCGTTCCTGCTCCCCGCACCAAGCCTGTGGTGCGCGTCGTCAGTCCGGTCTGGCCCGTTCCTGCTCCCCGCACCAAGCCTGTGGTGCGCGTCGTCAGTCCGGTCCGGCCCTTTCCTGCTCCCCGCACCAAGCCTGTGGTGCGCGTCGTCAGTCCGGCACAGCCCGTGCCTGGGTCACCGGTGCCTGGTCAGGTACCGGTCAGCTGCTCCACACCGGAGCCTAAGCAATCCGCTCCACCGATGTCCAGTCCAGCTCCAGCCAGCGGGGCCAGACCGGACCAGGGGCGCTACGGGGGGATTGTTGGAGGGTGGTGGTCAAGCCCGGAGCCGGAACCGCCTCCGAGGAGGAATGCCCACCCGGCCCTCCCCTGTTCGGTTTATGTTTGGCGCGGTCGCAGTCCGCGCCTTTGGGGGGGGGGGGGGTACTGTCACGCCCTGGCTCTGGGACTCTGTTATGTTGAGCCAGAGTGTGTAGTTTCTATGGGTTTGTTTTCTAGGTTCATTATCTAGCTCATGTGTTTCTGTGTTGGCCGGGGTGGTTCTAAATCAGAGGCAACGAGTATCAGCTGTTGCTTGTTGTCTCTGATTGGGAACCATACTTAGGCAGCCTGTTTTCCACAGTGTATTGTGGGATCTTGTTCCGTGTATGGTTTGTGTCTGTTACCAAGGACTTCACGTATCGTTTTGTTGTTTTGTTCGTGTGGTGATTTAATAAAATAAGTATGTTCGCATATCACACTGCGCATTGGTCCACTTCCTCCAACGATCGTGACAGCTCTGGATAAGAGCGTCTGCTAAATGACGTAAATGTAAATATTTTAAATAAGAGGTTTTAGTACAGAACCCATAAGTGGTGACCATGAAACATCCCTGGAATAAAAAGCCTATCAGATATCTTCTGTGTATATCTGCAGTAGGACGGTTTGTGGGTAGTGGGCTAGTTGAGGAGCTCTTGAGCCTACAAAGATGCACTGTGGTTGATTAGACATGGCTGATTGGAGTGGGTTCTGACTGGACTGAATCAAGCAGAGACACTGAAACAGGAGGTCTCAATCAACACTCTCAGTAATGGCGTCTTAACAGGAGAAAGCAGAGCAGAACATTTACATCTCTTTATGTTTACCATACAAAACCCATAAAGTATGCTGAATTTATCCAAATCACTTGGGTTCAGATCTTAGTATTGGCAGATAAATGATGCACGTATAATTTGTTCCAAATGCATGACTCCTACAGAAAGAGAGAGACTGTAATGTCTAACTGGTTCTTTGGTGACACTGGATATTTTTACCTCAGTGGTGCTGTACAGCTCTATGAAGTCAGAGACAGGGTTGGGTAGGTTACTTTATACATGTAATCCATTACAGTTACGCGTTACCTGTTCAAAATTGTAATCCGTAACGTAACTTTTGGATTACCCAAACTCAGAAACATAATCTGATTTACTTTCAGTTACTTTTAGATTACTTTCACCTTAAGAGGCACTAGAAGAAGACAAAAGTGAATATTACCAATTGAACGACATCTATTGCAGGATAAATCAATGTTTAGCGTTTACATAGATAAATGGAAGTTGCATTTTATTTATAGGTTTGTTATGTAGGCTTCTTCTAACGCATTGGTTTCTACTAAAGATAATAATACGATTTAAGCTATTAATTTACATAAAAAAATCAAAGTCTGACAAATTTCCGGTCATTCCGTTTAATTTAATACCTCTTCTTTTACCTGAGCATAACCCAAAATTGAAGGACATATTTAGCCTACTGTTGTCTATGATTTTGTTGTCATGGAGGACCGATTGGCATTGCTTCGAGTTGAAAAATAAATGCTCTCATGGAATAGCATGCTTTGAGCACTACCGAAAAAGGCTATTTGCATGTGAAAAATGTATGCCATATGCTGCATTTGCTATAGGCCTATTGTTTACAGTGCATTCGGAAAGTATTCAGACCCCTTCCCTTTTTCCACAATTTGTTACGTTACAGCCTTATTCTAAAATGGATTAAATAAAATAAAATCCTCATCAATCTACACACAATACCCCATAATGACAAAGTGAAAACAGTTTTTTTTTTAAAAATAATAATAAATACGTTATTTGCATAAGTATTCGTACCCTTTGCTATAAGACTCGAAATTGAGCTCAGGTGCATCCTGTTTCCATTGATCATCCTTGAGATGTTTCTACAACTTGATTGGAGTCTACCTGTGGTAAATTAAATTGATTGGACATGATTTGGAAAGGCACACACCTGTCTATATAAGGTCCCACAGTTGACAGTGCATGTCAGAGCAAAAACCAAGCCATGAGGTCGAAGGAATTGTCCGTAGAGCTCCGAGACAGGATTGTGTCGAGGCACAGATCTTGGGAAGGGTACCAAAAAAATTATGCAGTGTTGATGGTCCTAAAGAACACAGTGGCCTCCATTATTATTAAGATGTTTGGAACCACCAAGACTCTTCCTAGAGCTGGCCGCCTGGCCAAACTGAGCAATCGGGGGAGAAGGGCGTTGGTCAGGGAGGTGACCAAGAAGCCGATGGTCACTCTGACAGAGCTCCAGAGTTCCTCTGTCGTGATGGGAGAACCTTCCAGAAGGACAACCATCTCTGCAGCACTCCACCAATCAGGCCTTTATGGTAGAGTGGCCAGACGGAAGCCACTCCTCAGTAAAAGGCACATGACAGCCCGCTTGGAGTTTGCTAAAAGGCACCTAAAGGACTCTCAGACCATGAGAAACAAGATTCTCTGGTTTAATAATGTTTTTGCTTTGTTATTATGGGGTATTGTGTGTAGGTTGATGAAAATGTTTTGTTTACTTTAATCCATTTTAGAATAAGGCTGTGACGTAACAAAATGTGGGAAAAGGGAAGGGGTCTGAATACTTTCCGAATGCACTGTATGTTTTTGTTGGAGACACTTTGATATCTTGATAATTTGCAGCTGTTTAAGTCTATCAAAAGTGTGTGAGTTTGAGCATGTGTCCGTTAGGCTGGATTTTTAAAATGTTATCAGCATGAATTAGATTGAGCAATTAAAGCCCCACTCGTGGTCTTCCTAATTGAAACTTGTTTTTGACAGTATGGAGCACAATACCACAGAGGAGTTTAGAAGGGAGGAACCACCTCAAACTTTTATTCCATGGGCTGGGATCTGCACTATGCAGCTGTTGCAAGAGCCAGCTCAAGAGTGCATTTTTCACTGGCTCTCCACAGGTTGCAAAAACAATGATTGATAGGCGGTTTAAACTTTTTCAATTAACCCGTTATAGGGTTGAAATACACATATACATTTGTGAACAGCCGTCCACAACAACCACAATCCGTAAGGTGCAAATAGCTAAATGAGAGAGCAGCAGTGTGAGTCAGACCATTGCGCTATGTAGACATCAATAATACATTATATCTGTATAGCCTGTAGGCTACACCACTGCTGTCATCCTTAGCTCCAAGTGTTTATTCAAGTTGGATAATCTTTGGATGCCGACAGCAGTCGCACCATTGGAAGACATACTGTAGCTTGGACTGTATCCTACAAAAGCCTATCCCTGCTCTTTTCCCGCGATCCATCAAACACATTAGGTGTGTCATCATAGTGGTCTCTGACTTGTGGTCAGACTCGCTCAGGCGGAACAAACTTAAACTTGCACCTTTTTTCAATGCTGATTTGAATGTCATTGAGAAAACAGAAAGGTGTCAAATATTCTTAGAAGTAATCATCTAGTTTTTCAATATATCTGTAATCCGATTACACTTTTTGCTGGTAACGTAATGGATTACCGTTTTTAAAAAATCCATTACTTGTCATCCGTTACTCCCCAACCCTGCTACTAATGATAGCCTAGGGGTGGTGTCTGTCAGTTCGGTGGTCGTCAGGAGGTAGGGAGAGTGCCCACTCTCAGTCACACATTCAGATGGAAGGCTGCAGGCTCCCTGATGCGCAGGGTGTGGGTGTGAAGGTCACAGGGACCATACTCACCTCCCATGAATTATGGTTTTAAAACGAACCCTTTATCACAGGAGAATAATGATGTACAGTGAGTATTATACTAGCTCAATGTCATTTTTGACATTCAGTTGCCCATGCTGTGTTACCCACAAATGAAAGTGATAAATATAATGTAATCGTATGTAGCCCTGATTATTCCCTCCTCCCCTCTCTGTCTGCAGCCCCGTTTCCCGTGGAAGAGCCGTGTGTTTCCGCTGTGTGAGGATGAGGAGACGGCTCTGAGGTGTGATGAAGAGGAGCAGGAGGAGCCTCGCTGGGAGGAGAGAGCGAAGGCAGAGCCCACCAGCAGCACAGACGAGAGCAGTATCTCTGTCCAGTCACACCCATTCTCAGCCCTGTCCCTGTCCAGTACAACAGCACCACCTGCTGGAGATGATGGGAACAACAGTGTTACAGCAGAGTCTCCTCAGATGACTTGGCTTTACCACTGCACAGCACAGGTAGCATGTACAGTTACTTATGGAAGTGTGTATTTTGTGTTGTTGAATGCATGTATCAACCAGTTTGTTGATGTGGGCTGGGTAAGTCATAAATCAGTAGTGTTACAGAGAGCACCGCCACGCCTAACTGCCTTTCACTGATCCATTGCTTAAGTGTGTTCCGCACGCCTTTAAGTGCCTGTTTTCTGTCTTCAACAGGTCTCCACAGGAGATTAGGATACCCGAGGGACAGCGATACAAGAGGAGGCCTGAACTCCCTGGTGGAGATGACTTCACACCAAATGTGTACCTCATTTTAACGTTTGCTACATTTCCTGAACACAGTGATGTTTTAATTTGGTTGTAAAAAAGTAGGGGAGTGTTTATATTTATTTTAATTTCTCCCCTGTATTGTAAGATATTGGATATTCAACATTTTAAATGTGTACTTTTTTTAAGTAACCCTGACCTGCATTCTTATTGAAGGTCTGTGTACTAGTGCACAACTGATCATAACCACTGTATGTACATAGTTGTTACCTGATATTTATTTATGTTTCAAGACGTGTCTGAAAATGCAAAGTCTATATGTGTGTATATATAAGTATATGTGTACGTACGTATTTTTAGATTTTCACCAGTTTTACTCTTGGTTAGCAGATTGTATTTTTCCATAAGTGATGATCTTTATATAGACAAAAAAACAGGTGAAGTATTTTCATTGTTTTTTTAGTTGGTGTACTTCTCGTCTGACAGTGTAATCTCTGTTGATGACAACAGTCATTAAAAATATTCAGGCCACTGTCTGACTATTGTCACATTATTAAGGACGAACCAGACCGTGCCAACGAATGGTTAAAGGCCGTGTGGTGGTCGTTCTATTGCCTCTGACCACAGAACATCGGCCACCATTCTGTTCATTTCCCGACGATTCTACATGTTGAATCACTACTGTTCGTCGACACCCAGCAGGTGATCTATTGCACACGACCGCCGTTCGTGTCTTGTCCTTTATTATAGTATTGAGCGGTCAAACCAGTTACTTTGAAATCACTGCTATAACACCCATTACCTGGCCAGCTTGAATTACCCACACGCAACACAGTGTGACACTGTTGTCTTTTATTAGCAAATATGAATTTAGTGAGATACATACTTGTTAGGTTAGAGGCCCTAAAAATGTGGTATGAGTGCATGCCATGGCCTGAGAGAGGCCTAAGCATTTAGTTAACATTCTTAAATAGGCCTAGCCTCTGTTTATAGGGTGATTATTCCACTCTACATATCATTACTATTTCTCTTGCTGTCATTGTCAAACTTATCTTTCACACACTCAGAGCTTAGTTTCCTAAACCCAAAGGTCCAGTCAGTTCTTTCACTGTTTAACTTTGATCTTGTCCTCAGTGTTGAGCTGCTCTGTCCATCAGCATCACACTCAAAGACAGGCCCATTTTATCCTTCAGTAGCATCATCAGGGTTTGCATCCCAAATGGCACCCTATTCCCTATATAGTGCGCTGGTCAAACGTAGTGCACTATGTAGGGAATAGGGTGCCATTTGGAAGGCTAATTGCAGGCAAGTAGCGGTCAAGGTTATCAGCTCCATCCGAAGCAGGCTTGGAGAACAAGGGGGGTGGAGAAGCCTCTCCCCCTCTTTCATTAACCCAGGCCTGTAGCCTATGCTCTAGGAGCCATTCCCCTTGTACCTCCCTTGAAGTGTGCTTAAACCTTCAACCAGCACACATCACAAAACAGCACGAGGCAAGGCCAAGGAAAGGGTCACTGTGAAGTATCTGTTTTGCAGTTTATTCTAATATGTACAGTAGAACGGTTTAAAGTGTTGCAACAATAGGCCTAGTATGTATGACCAGCTAAAAAACATCAACAACATGACCTAACCAGCCTGGTGGACTAGGCTTGCGTCCCAAGTGGCACCATATTCACTTTTTGCACTATTTTACACTATTGCACACTGGAGTTTTATCAAATGTAGTGCACTATATACGAAAAAAGGGTGCCATTTGGGACAAAGCCCAGGTTACTAACTATTGTATGTAGTAGTAGGTGACCCTGACTACCCTTTCACTGCGTGGCTGTGTTGCTGTTTATGAGGGTTGACCTGGAACAGGGTTGGGGTATTGATCTGTCATGATGTGAAAAGCCATAACGAACATCATAGTTGCATACCAAAGGGCACCGTATTCCCTATATAAGCCTATGGCCCAATAAGCTATTTGTATTTATTTAAAACATTGCCTATGGGCCCTGGTCAAAATATGGTGTCATTTGGGACAAATCCCATGCCACCTCTGATGCTCCACTCTGGCCTCATATTATTCATCCCCTACCTGGGATGAGTTTATCTGTGCTCTCTCTTACAGTATGAAAAATGTATGCACTCACTAACTGTAAGTCGCTCTGGATAAGAGCGTCTGCTAAATGACTAAAATGTTAAAATGTTAAATGTTACTGCTCGGCCCCCTGGGGAGTCCTGCTGGGTGATTTAACTCTGCCTGGGGATGAAATACAGCAGTCATTCTTCTCACTGGCCTTGACATGCATACAGACGTAGGATCTTAATTTGAGCCAGTTTGCTAGAGCAGGAAAATAATCCTGCAGTAGCAGGAAATCGGAATTATTATGTGGATTATAATATTGGAGAAAAAAATGTGTAGGGGTTGATACATTTTTCGTTAGAGCAAATCAAGTGTAACATTTTAAAGTGGAAATTATAAACTTTAGATGCCTTTTAAACCATGAATACACTATAAATGTGCATTTCCTGCTGTGGGAAAATTCTCAGCAACAAAATAGTGATCAAATTAAGATCCGACATCTGTAAACTGTTTGACTGCATGCTATGTGCTAAATGGTAGCCAACTTAAAGAACTGATGTGTTGAGCACTATCTTGAATGTCTAGCCCCTATAAAATAAAATACAATTGTATTTGTCACATGCACCGAATACAACAGGTGTAGTAGACCTTACAGTGAAATGCTTACTTACAAGCCCTTTACCAACATTGCAGTTTTAAGAAAAATAAGTGTTAAGTAAAAAATAGATAACTAAAAAATAAAAACAACAAATAATTAAAGAGCACCAGTAAAATAACAGTATCGCATTAATAATAACAAAATAATCGCCTAACCAACTGCCATTGTGATTAATTTGGTTTTTTATAATCATTTGCTTTTTAAAGTCAATTAATGAGGGTCAGAATGGTTTATGGAATAGTAATGGGCTTGTTATCGTTGAGTGTGAATTCCGAAGCGCCCCTGTTGAAATACTTACGGTAGTCGGGAAGTAGCGGGAGGGGCTAAGTGGGCCCAGGATTCGGTTGCCAGTCACTGCGCTCCGACTAGAGCGAGTTCTACTGCGAAGCCACTGCACCGAACAGGTAAAGATTACATATTTTTTTTTATATTGATTAAAAACAGAATGTAGCCTAAGTGGAAATGGTCGGGTGTTTTTGCATGTATCGCCCAGTATTTTATTAATCCATATCACCATGTTGGTTTTATGAAGTTTTCTAATTGTGTGCATCAGTGCATGAGCAGAAATAATGTGAGCTACCCCAATGAATCGATTAAGAGAAAGGATTCATTGTTCATTGCCACGGTAGGAACTACTGAATAATGCCGGACAGCTAGACATATTTTGTCACTTCCAATGCCACCTAAATCTTAGCATTTTGTTTCATTTAAAAGGTCACATTTGAAGATGGGGACTCGCAAACCTTGCCCATAATGGATCACCTAGAATGGTTTATTGGTAGTTTGTTGGCGGCTGTAGCATATTGAACCAATAAATAATCTTATCTTGGTAGGCTACATGAAATAACATATTATTGATAGAATTTGTATGCTGTTATAGGCTATTTATGTGAATTGCTGATCTGCGGTGAACGCATAGTCGGCGCGGCAGGGAGAACGGTCGGTGTCACAACCAGCTGGTCTGCAGAACGCTGGTGAATTTGACGCGCTGCTTCTATTAGGTCCAGCACTTATGGTGCTGAAGCATCGGCAGTTCCGGTTAACTCATGACCGATTCTGTAAGCTATCAAATCCTTCTCCCCAGTTTCGTTCAAAAAGCCTACAGGATATGTTTTGAATTGGTTTAGCCTACTTGTTTCTATTGTTAAGACAAAGGGGCCTGTTGTTTGATTTAGACAGATATCATCTTCATTATCTATGCATAGGCTACAGTTGAATCGTTTTATACTAGGAGAGCTATAGTAGAGCTTAGCAGGTAGGTAGGCTATAGTTTATCAATGATTCGTGACGTTGGACGCTATAGAGGGGATGGTGCTTGAGGCTAGGCGAGATTGGTCCCCCCCCCTCTCAATTCAATTCAATTTAATTTAAGGGCTTTATTGGCATGGGAAACGTATGTTAACATTGCCAAGCAAGTGAAGTAGATAGTAAACAAAAGTGAAATAAACAATAAATATTAACAGTAAATATTACACTCAGAGGTTCCAAAAGAATAAAGACATTTCAAATGTCATATTATGTGTAAATACAGTGTTGTAACAATGTGCAAATAGTTAAAGGATAAATGGGAAAATAAATAAACATAAATATGGGTTGTATTTACAATGGTGTTTGTTCATCACTGGTTGCGCTTTTCTTGTGGCAACAGGTCACAAATCTTGCTGCTGTGATGGCACACTGTGGTATTTCACCCAGTAGATAAGGGAGTTCATCAAAATTGGGTTTGTTTTCGAATTCTTTGTGGATCTGTGCAATCTGAGGGAAATATGTGTCTCTAATATGGTCATACATTTGGCAGGAGGTTAGGAAGTGCAGCTCAGTTTCCACCTCATTTTGTGGGCAGTGTGCACATAGCCTGTCTTCTCTTGAGAGCCAGGTCTGCCTATGGCGTCCTTTCTCAATAGCAAGGCTCTCTCTGTATTTCTGTCGTCCTGTCCGTCTGTGTGTCACTCACTCACTCACTCACTCACTCACTCACTCACTCACTCACTCACTCACTCACTCACTCACTCACTCACTCACTCACTCACTCACTCACTCACTCACTCACTCACTCACTCACACACACACACACACACACACACACACACACACACACACACACACACACACACACACACACACACACACACACACGATGCTGAGTCATAAGATTTTCTTGGTTAATTCTGAAATAACCTACCCCACTGCATATGTAGGAGCTTTATGTTTGATATACAGTGAGGGTAAAAAGTATTTGATCCCCTGCTGATTTTGTACGTTTGCCCACTGACAAATAAATTATCAGTCTATAATTTTAATGGTAGGTTTA